TGGCCCCATGGGAAGTTCCACCGAAGGCCCCAGAGGCCGCGTCCCCATGCGCCCTCCCTGCCCACTTATGTCCATCCATGCACCCCCCCCGCACGGTTCGTGGCCCCATAGGGAGCTCCATCGAACTCCACACGTCGGATCCGTTCACGCTCCGCACCTCCAAGGTCACCCGGACGGGCTTCCCGCTCTCGCGCGGCAGGGTTATCACCACGGTGGCGCGCCAGGGGCGCACCATGCGAGAAGGCGACGGGGCGAGGGAAGTCTACATCCGAACCTACGATGCGCGAGCGGCTCGCAGCCAGACCATCTGTCGGTCCTGTGGAATCTCTCGCTGAGCAGTCGGCTGTCGGGCGCGCTGCTCCCTCGGCCGACGTCGCCCAGGCGCGATCCTGAACTGCGGCCGCCACGGGGCCGGACACGGCAAGAAGTAAAACGACAACTGGAGGATGGAGCTCTACGCGCTGCTCTCGCGCGCCACGCGCCACGAGGACCTCCTTCTCATGCGGGCGCCGCGCGTCGAGTTCTTCTTGGCCGGGCCGCCGGAGGGCCTGCGGAAGCAGCTGGGGCATTTTGCGGCGCCCGCGAAGCGGCGTAGGAAGGAGGCGGCGGCCCTCGCCAGGGACCTCGGCTTCACAGAGTTTATCCGCGAGGCCCGACCTGAGGAACGCCCCCTCCTGAGCCGCGCCTTCTCTCGCCTCTCCAATTCTCCCCGAGCGACCAGCGCGCGTCGCGGGCTGCCCGGCGCTTCGCTCGCCCGTCGTCGTTCTGCTCGGCGGCCGCAGCCTTGCCCGCTATCGGCTGGCCAGCTAGGTCTCTTTGCTGCGCGCGGCGGACGACCCGCGCGCGTCGCTGGAACCCTTTCGGGGCGACCGGGGCGCGTCGCGGGGATTCCGCGCTGCGCTGCGCCCGCGGCCTTGGATTCTGAAGCGCAAGGGCAAAGAGGGAGACAAATTAAAGGAAGGAAGCGGGCGCGATCCTTGCGAGGGGCGCGCCGACATGGGCGTCGCGGCGCGCGGGCGTTGCCGTCGGGGCCCCCCGGGGAAGCCCCCTGCGGCAGCCGCGCACCGGGTCGCGAATATTCAGACTTAGGCGTAGCCGTGATCGCGTTCATGCACATAGGTTCATTCGCGCGCAGACACACATTCGGACTCACTCGCGTTCAGATTTGCCCGCGTGCAATCTCTCGCAGTAGTGCCTATCGTTTTCGTTCGTGTGGTGTACCCCGCCGCGCAATTCGGCGCGCCCCTCGTGCTGTCCGTGGCCCCATAGGGAGCGCCGCCGAACAGTCATTATCGCTGTACTAGCAAGTGCATCTGGTTGGGCCCTTTCACCATTCCAAGTTGGAGTTGTTTGAATATGTTTTGTTTGTTTGGTTTTGTAATTAGTCCTTCGAAGTTTGCCTGTCGGAGGACACGCCGGATTTCATGCCAGGGGGGCTTCGGTCGCAAATCATGGGGGCTTGGGTATACCCTGGCATATATGTTCTTAGTGCCGAGTGGCGTCGATTAGCGTTAATGGGCCGATGAGAGATGGCGCCGTTGTAGCGTCGGTCGTAGCGTCGATTTGGCGTCGACTGGCGTCGAGTAGCGTCGACTTAGCGCCGACTAGCGCCGACTCGCGAAATCCGATAATATGGCAACGGGGGCTCTCTAGAGTTGCCACCGAAGGGGAAAGGGGGGGGGGTTCAGATGGGGGCTGCTTCTTGGAACACGTGGGCCTTGCCTGCAGATGTAGGGCGGGCGCCCCTCAAGAAACGATCCGTTTCTGAGAAGCCTTCCCCCTCGCCCCATTAGCCCTCTCTGTCTGCGCTCTGCCCGACGAGGGCGTTCATGGTCTGGTCGGTCGGGTTGCGTCTCAGTCGGTTGCGGTCGGTCGGTTCGGTTCGGTCGCTTCTTGCGTCGTTCAGGGGCATCGACAGGGGGAAACAGGCACAGGGGGGACGCATCGACCCCCAATCGCCCAGCGATCGGCGATGGGGCCCCGGTAGCCCCAACCCGCTGGGGAACGCAGGACCGCTGGGATTTGCTATCGGGGGCCTGTCGCCGATCTATCGGCGATGTATCGCCGATTCCACTTCGATTTTTCCCGCCCTGCGCTTATGATGTTCCAACCTGCTTTAGCTTTGGTCACCCACAAGGTTTTCGAGCACCAAGAGCACAGCGAAGCTGGAGTGCTTTCGCGTGTCGGGCCCTGGGAAGTGATGATACTCGTGCGGCGCTGCCTCGATGCATTCCTGGGTGCTCGAAAGGTCTCTCTGGGACGTGGCCCCGAAGTACGATGGGAACAGCATGCACCCCATGCCAGTCCCCCGCGGTCGTTGCCCTCCGGTCGCTGCTGCTCCGTTATACGCCCTCCCTGGCTGCGCCCGCGGCCTCTGCGTCTCGGCTGGTGCCAGTGCCGCCGTCGCTTCGGCTGGTGTTTTTTCGCCCTCCGGGGGCACCGACCAGGCCTCGGGACCGTCGGGGAACGGCTCGGGATGAAGAGCTGGCCCCAGGGAAGG